AAAAAAAAAACTGGTGATAGAATAGTGAAGTCTTTATTGCTCACCTTTCATAGAGCACTTCTGTGTGCTTAAGCACTACACTAATGAAACATTTTACGTGGATTATTTAATCCTCACAATAATCCCAAGCAATAGATACAGAACTGAAAAGTAAATGATAGAGCTAGGCTAAGAAACCAGGTCTGTCTGACTCAAAGGGTTTTAATCTCTTAGTAACTACCACACTACCCCCTACACAGGAGTAGGCATTGCAGGCCAGGCTGACTAGAGGAAAATGACACAGCAGCTACAATTAATACCTGTGTCAGTGCAGTCAGTGCAGGAATCTTGACACAAGACTACATATTTTGTGGACTCCACTAGCAGCAACTTTTATCCTAGATTGCTTTCCTAGGACACTGGTCTAGCTTTGACTCACAGTAGCTTTCCTGGACACATCACCTACTTCTCAAACTCAGTATTGATCGATCCTGTGATTTACTCAGACACACAAGTAAAGTCCAGTGACTGACTTGAATTGAAATGGTGTAAAACTAACAGCTGAAGGAAACCTACTGTCTAATTTAGGGGAAAGAATTTAACTGAGATCAGCCAAAAAGGAGCAGTTTCTAGCTTTGAATTTGAAGAGATTTAAGTAACTAGCATTCGTGTCTTTCCCATTTCATCCTCCAAACTCAATTTGGTATGGCAGCTTTTCCTTCTTGCAACTCCACAATAATAAATAAACCTATTCTACTATCCTAAAACATGGAGTCTTTCCTTTTCCTAATCCTCTCCACCATATTTCACACTTTGCTTACTGAAAATACAACTATCACTTGGAGATCACTGCAACTATAGATTCTTTTTTTTAATTTATAGCAGAGTCCCTTTATGGAAAAGCTGGCCGGCGGCTGCCTCAGTGTCCCAACATGTGGTTTCTGAGAGCAGCTCCGAGTGCTTAAGGAGTCAGGTTTTTATTATTACTATTTTTTTTATTAAATCACAGTTGTGCACATTAATACTATCATGGAGTACAGTGTGTTGTTTCCATATACAATTTGAAATATTCTCATCCAATTGGCCAACATAGCCTTCATAGTTGTTATGTTAAGACATTTATATTCCACATTTGGAAAGATTCACATGTACCCTTATGGGATAGATCATAGGCATGATCCCAGCAATCACCCTCCCTCCACACATCCTCCCCCCCCCCTTCCCTGTATTCTTAGGCTAAAATTGGGTTATAGCTTTCCTATGATAGCGACTGTAGATTCTAATCCTATCATTTCCCTTATAATATATACAGTGGAACCCTTATGTCCCCATTTCTTACTGTTAGAGTCTTTCCTTTCATCCTAATTCCCATCTCCTTTGAAGTAAACACTTAACTGAACATTACTAATTGGGACACTGTAGCATGATGAGGGGGGCAACTGTATAGCAGAAAATACTAACAAAACCTAGTGTTTATTAATTATGTATAATAGTATAAGCAAGGTAGGGTGCTAACATCTTTACATACATGTTCCCACTCAATCCTCCAATCTCCCTAATAGTACATTTTTATCTTCATTTTACATAAGAAAAAACTAAAGTTGTCAAGATTAATCAGCTTGTTTAGATTAATAGCATGTAAGTGACAGCACAGACAGGATGACATCAGCTTTGCAATTGCAATCACTATCCTAATACTAGCTTCTATTAGAATTACTAATATATAAATTAGAAAAAAGAGAAAAAGCAGCATAGGTAATGATAGTTGAGGAAATTTTCAGAAAAGGATAGGCTTTTTAAGCTAGGCCCTAGACTAGCCATGGCACACCAGTATGCTGTGACAGGATTTCAGGGGTACTGCAAACATTTTTAAAGATAATTAATTAAAATATTTTCAAAAGAAGTTCAAGCACAGTAAGTTTTTTTTTTTTTTTTTACTCTTTTCAGATCAACCTAATTTTAGTGTGCTATGAAAGTTTAACTATAGTTAAATTCAAGTGTGCCGTGAGGTAATGAAGCTTGGCTGAAAAGCACTGTCTTAGAGAATAGTAACAAAGAACTAGAATTAGCCATCTTTTAGGCCCTGGGCTAAGTATTGTCCATTTCCTAAATGGTAGGTATTACTTTCCTAGTTTGATCAAATTTAAAGTAGGATATACTGATTATGTTTCTTTGCTATAACAAAATTTGTGTAGAGGAGAAAAGTATCATTCTGAAATTACTAGAGCCGTTCTTATACCAAGCTGATGAACCAACATAATTTTATCTGTCATCTTTATCATATAGTAGTTTAATTAAAAAAATATTTTAAAGGATCACTAAATAATAAATAATCAACATGTATTAAATATTTATGCTTACTTCATAGAATTTAGAAGATTAATTTGCCAAAGCCACTTTTAATCTTTTATTTATCTATCAGGCTTATCATGGTTTGCTTCATTTTTATAACTATTTTGATTGGATCTTAGAATTACTGAATGAATTTAATGGTAAAGAATGTACTAATCAACCATAACATAATTCCTAAGAGGAAAAAAGTACTTTATTATACATCATTTTGAGGAATGCACTGTAATAAAAACCAAGGTTTTGGTTTTTGTCTAATTTTTCAACTAAACTATAAACTCTTGAAGCATAAATTTCATCTTTGTTTCACTATATTGCGTGCAAAGCATTTAGTCTGGTGTCTTAAAGTGGGACTATCACTGAGATTCATAACAGAATTTGAAGAGTTAAAAAGGGACAGAGATATCACCTAGTCCAAACACAATGCTTGGTTAGCTAGTTTGCTTGTTAACTAATAGTAAATGTTGGGAACAACTAGTCAATTTCCAAATGCTGCCAATATACAGCTTAGGCTAATGCATGTCAAATTAATTTTTATTGCCTTGACTGAATAAAGGCATTGTTTACACACAACAAACCTTTGGTGGAAAATGTAAATGATCTCCTATCCTGTCCTTTTCCTTTCTTTCTTCATTTATCCTTCCCTCCTTCCTTTCATCTGCATGCTTTTCCTAATCACATGCTCTTTCCCCAGTATTCTTAGTTTCTCTCCGTCTTCCCTTCATAGGTTTCAGGTGGCTTTTTGTTGTTGTTGTTGCTGTTGCTATTTTCAAATTTCTTGAATCAACCATATTATTTTGGTTACTCATTTACTTTTCTCTAATCTCTGCCTTCTCTTTTTCACTGTGGCATACTTGTAGTAGTTTGGGCTTAGATGATACAAAACATCAAAGTTATATCTGAGAATAACAATGCAAATACAAAAGCTTAGTATTTTTTTACTTATTAGGCAGTGAAAAAGTTAATTCAGTCTCTAACATTTAAGCACCTGTCAAGTGTCAGTGTTCTGGGGATGTACAGGTGGATGCCATGAAGTCTCAGCCTTAAGGATCTTACAAAGCAGAGTGAATAGCAAATAAAGTTAAGAGCACTAAAGTCAAACTGCTTAGGATTAAAATCCAG